ATACAACTAGACACACGAGGACCACAATGATGAAAAACAAACCTTAATCCAGGTCTGAGCATCAATACACTCATACCTGGATAATCTGTTAAAGTGAGATAAGGATTAGAAGAAGCTATATTGCCAGGTAATGTTTTTTACTTTCCATTTTAATAAAGGCCAACAGAAAGGTCTTATGCGTTTTGTACATGTATTACTTTTCATCCGTTACTTGCATGTTTAACAACGTGGTGGTATCTCTTTATAGCACTTGGAGCCTGCCTCGTTTTTCTGTGAAAACGTTCCCCCCCACGTGCAGTTTATAAATGACATGTAGGCTGGTGTCAGTACATGTTTATGATATCTTGGAAGGGTTTAGTGCCAAAGTCTCGTGGCATATTAAATATTTCATCTGCCAGAGTGTGGCAAATGAAATACAGATACAGAATGATATAATGGCCAGAAGTTCATAAAAGTATTTCTCAAAATGAAATTGATACTGTGACAGGATGATGAAAAAATAAAAAACATTTGTTGGAAGTGCCACTTCACTTCAGTTTTAAATTAAATGGAGTGAGTTAAGGTAATCCATATTGTTAAACAAAGCACAATTTGTTTTAGTTAGTACTGAACAATTATTGATGAAAAGACAGCAACAGACAGTGTTCATTACATTTATTTTAAAGTTAAAGCATATTTGGCACCTTAAAAATCGTACTGAAAGGGAAACTATGATTATAATGATTAGGATTTATAAAAAAGTAGTTCACCACCCAATTTAATTCTATAAAATCATTTCAAACTAATGGTCCATCTTTAATCCAATGTTCAATTACATGATCCCTGTGTTACAAAACACAGGCCCTAGCAGAGGACCAACACTGTATTGCTATCCAAAAGAGTTCCATCCAAAAAAGATACTCAATACTCCACTATATCTTAGATGCTCATGCTTCCCGTCTCGACTGTCAACGTGGTAAATATTTATGGTACTTGGAGACCATTCTGTCTCCATCTGTGAACACACTCCATCCCACATGTACGTTGTCAGTGACGTGCATGCAGGTGTCAGTTCTTGTAGTTGCCAACGCGTGGATTTTTTTACTAACCAACGTGATATGCTACAGATGGTTTCAGCTCTCAACCAGCAGGTAGTCTCGCCATCGCCCACCACCCACTTCCAATGCCAAATGATATACTGCGTAATTCAGGATAGTTGTCATTGCATTATAAGTAATGCAACTCTCCAGATGAGGGGTTGCTACATTTGTCAAATGACAAACCAGATGAATTATGCTGATAATATGTCCATGTGCATAGGTCTTCTACCTTATATAACCAAAAGCAGGAGACATTTTGTTTAGTATTCAAGACATTCCCCTTTATGACATGGTTGAACACCTGTTTGGAGAATGCACATGCTCGCCGAATACTGGCCTACTCCACTCTAATTCCTAAATACCGTGCCCTTGGAAATGTTTAGATCGTCTGTGTGCTCAGTGAAAATGTCAGGTTTGCATTGTCTCAATTATTTTTAGAAAGAATGGAAAAGCCCTGAGTATTAACAGGATCATTTAGATGTTTTGAGGTGGGGTTGTGTGAGCTACTTATCCATAGTCAGTGTATTACAAATGGTAGATTGAAGTAGGCACGCAACACGTTTGGAAAATCAAACGGGAGGACAAAAAAAAAGCAAAACCCATTAGAATTTGTCCCTCGCCATCAAACAGCCCTTGCCAGCGGGATACTGAAGCCGTCATGTATGTTCCCACCAAAGCCACAAAATTACTCTGACAAAAAGAACAATTTTTACATGCACACACAGCTGGTCTAGCACAGTCTCTTTAGAAAAGTTACACAGTCGCAAAACAAAAACAATTGATGAAAACATATTTTACTGCTGCACTGCCCACAGCAGTACATTGCTTTGCTCCCGTCATCCTGTTCCAAAACTGGGGGCATGCGTGCTGCACTCTACTGTATTTTTTGAATAATCTTGAATTTTAAGAAACATATCAAGAAAGTATCCAATACTATTAAATTCAACTTGCAACATTTTAAACAAATCAGACCCTTCTTAACTGTCAATGCTGCAAAGTCATACCTCCACTGTATGATTCTATCCCACATTGAATACTGTTTTAAAACTGGTCGTTTGCTTGCGCCACAAACCTGAAACCCATAGAACAGCTGTACAAGAGAGCTATCAAGGTGTTTGACAGAAAGCCTTATTCATACCAAAACTGTGCCATCCTTGATAAACACCATTTCTTGAGTTTGATAATTTTAAGTCTTTTAAAAGTATGTGCTTTTTTTATAAATATTTACACTGGCCCCCCCTCCCTAAGGGGAATTCATCCACAAAAAACACACTGGACGCTGCACTAGGTCAGAAACCAGAGGAGACTGTGAAGTCCATCGTAAACGGACCACTTTTGGTCCCAATGTACTCTCCATTAAAAGGCAGCTCACTCTGGAATAGCCTCCCAACTCAGATATGGGATTGTCCCACTCTCAATTGTCCCACTCTCAATTAACTCAAAGAATGGTTGAGTAACAAACAGACGTGCAATCACCGCTAACACTAGGATGAGTCAAATGCAGAGAAACCATTTCGTTACATACCTGTACTATGTAATGACAATAAAAGTGCAAAAAAAGAAAGAAATGCACTTTAATACAGGGGTATCTCCTCTTGCACTTTATGTAGCTCTTGTATCATCTCTTGCACTTTATATGTCGTTGCTGCTATATTGTACTGCCATGTGGTAAATACTTGTGTATGCTGAAGCACCCCCCAGGATAGCCATAGCACCCCCTAAGCACCCAAGAAATGTATGTCTTTTTTTTTATGTGTGAAATTCACAATTTGAAAAATGATTGATTCGAAAATAATATGCTACAGTACAGTACAAGTAGCCTACTTCTGGGTCTCTGTGTTTCATTCAAGCTTTGCTCTGTGTGTGTGTGGCACGAGCCATTTTGTGTGCGCAAGCGAGAGAGAGAGCGCGCACCGGTACCGGAGATCGTTGTGGTTAGCATCTGGTGCTAGCTACGCTAACGGATATAAGGAGCTTTTTCAACAACAAGGTGGAGGGAGAACTCTCTCCTGTCAGACTGAAAGTCTCAGATAACCTCAGCTCAGGTGAAGTAAAGGACTCTCTCAGTGTTTGGATAGTTAACTTTAGTCTAAGTTATCTCAGTGGGTCTCAAAACAGTTTGTTCACGATTAATGTAAATAAGTATTTCTGAGGCACACGTTTATATTATCATTATATAGAAAAATAAGTAGACAGTAAAACAAGAATACAGTTTAAAAGGAGAGTGATTTGTAAAATATCCATAAAGAAATAGAAAATCTGTTTACAGTTCTGTTTCATATGGGTGTTGATGAGAGATGTATCCATAGATCTCTTAATGTTGCTCTCAAAGTGCACCAGATAGATGCATTTAATTTCAATATTTAAAAAAAAAATCTTCCAGGGGGAGCATGCCCCCGGACCCCCCTAGAGCCTAGAGGATGTTAGGTCCACCCCCCACTTGTAAAAAAAAATAGCACTTTATCCCTGTTATATGCCGTGAGCTGATTATCGAGCCTTCATTGTAACAGTTGCGGATACACTGTGTATGTGCGTGTGGGGAGTGTTGCAGTAGAAAATTCAACTGTCGCGCCCGGGACATTAATGAGAAACGCTAAATGTTTGAGCTCCCTCTATGAAACGTCAAGCTACCCCACAGCACCCCCAAAAGAAAATATCTGGCGCCGCCACTGTGCTCTTGCTCTTTTTGCATATCATGTATTTTTTTTTCTTCTATGTTTATAAATGTCTTTGTTCTTATATGTTATATGTCAGGGACTAAGGATGGAAATTAGCTCAAAGCAAAAAATCCGGCATATTTACACTTCAAGCATTATTTGTGTTAAGTGTTCATTAATGTGCATTGTCCCTATTCAAATAAACGATTAAATGAAATGAAAAAAAAATGTAAGAAATAAACTGTCCTTTTGATACGTTGTTCATACAATCCAACAACAAAACCAAAACTATAAATATATTAGTACCACTTTACAATAAGACTACCCTTATAAAGGGTTTACGAATAGTTTGCAATTCATTTAATAATTAGGTTGTGAATACTTTATAAACCATTAATACACTTTTATACGACATGAGATAAACAGGACACCTGTGACCGGTTGCTTGCCAAATGGTGAGCCCACATTTATCTGTACTGCTAAGCCTTATATTGGCTACCTAGCTTACTCCGTCTTCTTCATCAGTCAGCATCCTTGGTATCTGTTGTTCACTGAGTTGATTCTCTCTAAGAAGCCAATATAAGGCTTAGTCCTCTTGCCAAATAGTGAGCCTGTGTTGATGTATGAAAACTACGTTAGAACTGGTTTATAAATGGTTCTTAATGATTAATAAAGTGTTTACAACCTAATTCATAACTTCATTATAAACCCTTTATAAGGGTAGTCTTATTTTAAAGTGGTACCAATATATTCATAAATAAAAATGTTGTATGAAAGCTTGGCATCCTTATCTTGGTTGTACATGTCGGTTTCTTGCTCTAGTAAGTTTACATGTGAGGTGAATAACATTTGTTTCCAATGAACCCAATGATATGTAGACATTTTGTCAGTGATGGATATATTTTTGCTCCTTTGGGAAAGAATCAAGAAATAGCTACACTATATTCAAATATGATTATCTTAAATGGTGCTGTGAAACAATAATAAACTCTTACTTCCTTACAAACATAACAATTCAGATTGAAATAGTGTCCTGCTAGTATACGAGACAAAACCTGTAGCATCAGATTGGCCTACTTGTTCTCAAAGTACAGATTTAAGGCAGTCTTGGGAGAGAACATCCGCAGTCATCATTCTGGGCATACATCGCCCTCTGCTGGCATTCAACAGCAAAGACTGAGGAGAATCTGGCTCTCTTGACATACCAAATTGGACAAATGCATACAAGGCCATCTTTTAAAAAACACACAACAAATGGTTATTTACTTTCATATATCTTTATTTTCTGAATTTCATTTAAAATTGTAGGAAAGAAACATGTGACAATACAATAAATACATTTAGTATTTTTCCATTTACAAAAGTCAAGGAAAGGAAAGCAGTCCCTGTGTGGCAACATTATTTCACTACTAGGGAACTGCAGGGATCTATACTATTTTGACCCCACAAGATGTGCAAATCACTCATTTCTATTCCACTATAGCACCATACCCAAGTGACGATGAAACAGACAAACACTTATAACTTTCAATATCCATCAGAAGTAAACTTGCTTTCACCAAATCAATTTGAGTGAAAAAAAAATTAAGTGAAACATGACCTATATTAATGCAATAATAATAATAATAATAATAAACTGGTGGCAAGAGGCATAGTCCAATATCAGATCAGGCTAGATTAACTGTCAAGAGCTTTAGAGGTCAGTAGTGACCACAGGAGTAACTCCCTGGATCAGCAAAGTTGGGCCGAGGTCTCTACTCAACATGTCCACTTGGTGGAGGTAGGTACAGTAAAGGCTTGTGTCTGCTGGTGGCCGGGGCAAATACAGGAAACGCACAGCAGGCTTAGGGGCACCGTGTCTTCGTATCAAATTGTTGACAGCACAGATATATTCATCTGTCATCCGAGCAGCATTGTTGGGAAATATTTGGAAAACGTCTTCCTTCTCAACTTCCTCTTGTCTGTCCATCTCCTCGTTCAGCAAAGACTCTGCCAGATTCCCCCCTACTTTTCCTCCTCGTCTCTGCCAGTGTAGCTCCATTACTTGGTCCCACGCCACCATCTGCACCTGAGCTGAAATCCTTAGCTCCTTTAGCATCGACCGGAGCTTCTTCTCCTCCTCTTTCTTCAGACTGCAACCAGCTTCCACACACAAGAAGAGGCGGAGTCGTGCATGCTTCCAGGCACGGGTCTCTTGAAGCACGCAGGCCAGCTGCAGTAAGAACAGTGAGCAGATGTCGACGTAAGCGCGGCTGTCTGGTCGAAGCAGATTCAAAGGCCACACGTCGACAAATGGCCCCTTCATGCGTCGGTGGCTATGAATCTTTTTCCCTGACACCAAGACCTCTCGGTTGAATTGGTTAAAGTTACGAGCCAGAGTCACATTCTTTCCCATTTTGACCGCGTCAGCAATCAGAGACACATATTCCTCTTCCCCAAGATCTTTTAGGTCGTAGGCACCCCTCACATCAGGGAAGAAGGGAGAGCGTTGCTCGCCGCGGTCTATGGATGGATTCACTGCATCAAAGCCAGTGCCTGTAGACAAGAGCATTTTACCTTGAAGGTCATCTTCAGGGATGCAGTCATCATAAAAACCAAGGACAAGGGTGTTTGGCCTCATTCCGCCTAGAAGCAAACAGACAAATGTATATTTGGATTAGAACTGTTAAGTTTGCATTTTACGCAACTATATTTCAATAATGAAAATAAAACATTGCCATAGAGTTGCAATTGAAACTTGCCTACCAAAGCCTGTGATGAAAAGCAAGTTCTGAACTCCATGTCGGACAGAGTTTGCCAGGGTAAGGTTGACAAATGCCTTTATGTTGAGATGATCCACTAGAGACAGCCAGGAGTCATAACGGCTCTGCAGAGGATCAGATGGCAACCCATCTGCAGAAACACACACATAATCTCAAAAGTGTGCTTAAAAGAACCATCCTGCATTAATTCTAATGTTGAAACATTTACACAGTGGAGGAAAAAGGCTCCTTAGAGGCTTTAAAAAGCAAAACCCGATCTTAAAGCCTTCAGTAGCTGAGTTTTTAATAATATAAAGTTTAGGTTTCATATGACACATTAACACAAAACTAGTTATGAATCCATCTTCTACCTACACAATTCTTACCAAGTAAACCCAGCTTTACATGTCCTAGTACATAGAGGCCACTCTTCTTCAGGTCATTAATAAAGGTCATGAGACCTGTACAGCTTCGAGGGTTAGCCACCATCAATAACAGCTGGGGCCTCCAGAACTTCACATGGTCCTTACGCACATCCAACATCAACAGGTACTTGCGCACCTGAGGGAATAAAGATGTGATGATGTAGTTATTCATACAAACTTCCATCATATTGTAGTTTCAGTGAGACAATAGCTTGTTTGTGACACCTGGTGGAAGATGAGCGCCTGGCTGATGTAGCCCCAGTTGCTGATAGGACCAAGGTAGTGGATAAGCATCAGCAGCAGCAGCATAAAGGCTATGCTGCCAAATGCATAAATGGCATTGATCAGGAACATCATGACCAGTGAGCCAAGAATGCCCAGCGTGCAGGTATGCCATGTAAAACAACGGAACGAGGGTCTGAAAAACAAAACAAATATCATGACAGAATGTGGATTGAAAAATACCTTTATTTTGGAATCATCCAAAAGAAAACAGAAACCGTTCAAATATCCTGTACCGTACCTGAAGTTTGGTGCAGAAGCCAATTCAAGAGCCAAACAGGCCAGGTTCACAGCAGCATAGACCAACAAGAAGAAGATGGTTACAATACTAGCAATGGTGTTCAATTGACCAGCGAACAGCACCACCTAGTGGAATAAATAAGAAACAACAGTTTGGCTTACAGATCTTATCAATATGTTTTAAATCTTGTGCTGCTCTGATCTCATTCAGGTTACAGCTACACATTTTAAACATTCACAAATACAATTTGCAATATTGTAGCAACCAAAAGTATGCAAGCCCAGAACAATGTATACAAACAATACATCACTCAAAACCCACCTGTTCAACACTGCATTCAACAACTGACCCCCCCCCATTCTCTCTTTTTTTTTTTTTTCCTGTCAAAGCGTCTTTGAGTTTCTAGAAAAGCGCTATACAAGTCTCATGTATTATTATTATTACAAGTCCCACAATCTAGACTGCAGGAACCATCCTGTGAAACAGCCTAACTGTTTTTCATAAAAAGCTATACTATGCAAGCCCATCAACTCCAAGAATCAACAAACCTTGCTATCCTTGTTAGGTAATATGCTTATAAGAAGTTGCATGGTAGTGAAATGAAGAGTTCACTTACTAGTTTAGCTGGAAAGTACCCTGCTCTGTCTCCCTGGGCACACCTTTCAAGCTTCATTTGACAATTGGTCAACCAATCCGAAGCGGAGTAAATAATGTTTTGCACCAAAAGATGAAGGGGCAGTAGATCCGAATCTGACAGTGATCCATCAGATTGGCAGCTGCTAATTTATTTGCCTCAATTCCAGCTTTACTGTTCCTTTTAACTCCACACAGGGCATCACTGCATTTTCTAAACGTTACTGAAATCAACACCTGTATATTTATATAGCTTTAATAATATTTGACTGCCCTTTATTGTTCTTCTCTAGTTATTAATAATGGTTCGTGGATGGCTTTGTGTGTATTTGTAAAAAAACTCAGTTTGGAGAGTTGCTAAAAAGTAATTTTACAAGCAAATATGTGAACGAAGTCACTAAACTAACATGCAAAGAATTATGGTGGAACAGGAAGGGGGATAGAGTATAGCAATGTCAGCTTTAGTAGAGCTCAAGGAGAGTCACTCTCAATGTTATGCACAGAGGAAAACTGTCCCCACTCCTCACACATTCCTAGCTTACCTGTACAAGCAGCCAGGACACAAGCACAGAGAACCAGGGGTTCCCACTCAGAGAGGTTTTCCTAACCAGGGCCAGGAAACCACCTGTAGAAATGTAAAGCATTATCATAAGAAATAGTCACTGTTATTGCTCCTGAATCAGATAAACAACTGAGTCATACTGCACTCGCCCTTACGCCCAACACACAATGATAGGATTTTTGTTCTGCTTCTTCAGAGAAAAGGCAAGACTGGAAGCCATCTGTTGTCAAACGATGCTTTCCAGATGAACATGCCTCCACTTGAGAAACAAGACATGATGAAATTAATAACAAGTGTCAAGTTCTCACATTTTACATGGGAGGCCTCTTTCAACAGATGGCTGATTATTAAAACGTTGACTCAGCTTTATAAAAGACCAGCTGGAGTTTGATATGCTTTTGTATGCTATGAATCAACTATTTAGCCCTGATCTTAACCAAAACAAGCAGGAGAAGCAGTTTAAATCTTCTCACTACAGAAAAAGTCGAGGCCAAATTAGCTGAATCCCCAATCTGCAAATAACTCGGCAGCAGAGTAATGCAGCAATAACCTCACCAAACAGGTTGTCTTTGGAGAGGGCATACAGGATCCTGGAGGCCCCTATCAGGTTACTCATGGCAGCAGAAATGGTGGAGGAGTAAATCCCAATTGTCACCAGTGGTGGCCATATATTGATGTCTCCCAGGAAATTGTAGTCTTTTTGGAGAAGGTTACTAAGGACAATAGAAAGATGTTAAAAAATAGACCACATTATCAAACTTAATGTGTTAATAAAGCCAGATAATTTTTAAGCATTGACATTAACCGATTTAAGTGACTACAGGGTTCTGATATTTTTTTTTATATATATAAATCAATAGCATTCAACGGAGCACTGCTTAATGTGTTTGACCGTGTGAGTGTGTTTTACCGTTCACAGGACCCCGCAACCAGCAGACTCAGCACATTGTATGTAATGAAAGTTGTAAGAACAGCAGCAAGCGTTCCTCTTGGGATGGCATAGCTGGGGTTTTTCAGGTCACCTGGAAATCAGATAACAAAAGTTGATTATTAAAAACAGACTGTAATCTATTAAAGCTATAATCTGCTATACATCTGTCAAGTACTGTGTCTTCGATTGGGGGTTGGATCCACCAATTTCCCACAGTTCTAGACCTGCCTTAACTCATTTTTAAAGGCTTTTCTCCAAGAGGTTGCGGAACAATTTGGTCTACATTTATTATTGATGTGAAATGTACTTTACTAAATCCTTTTCCATCAAAGAATGTATTTATTGAGGTTGTTTGAAAGCCATCTTACCTGACATGTTGGATCCTGCCATGATCCCAGTGCAGCCATTGAACATGACTGCAAACACTTTGGCAAAACTCATCATGGCACCAGTGGTGTAGTCTACTGTGTAATTGGCTAGAAGGAGTGATAGGAGGCCGGATTAGTTATAAAAGTAAAGGCTCACTTAGACAAACTAAAAAGGGATTTCTGGCATGCTACATACATTGTTTGCTTCTTCTGCTTAAATAAAATCAAAGTCCTCGATTAACATATTAAAGCTAACGTAATCAAAAGGCTGTGTTTCCTTCAAAAAAGGTCCAATATTGTTTAAATAGATTTAAGATGATGAGGGCATAAACAATTCTAAGTTAATACATCTGACAATATGAAACAACACTTACGCAATAGATTGCCCTCAAAGGTGTGGCGCCGGAAGCCAGTATAATTTGCGGTTCTCGTGCTGGTACCGTTCAGCCCAGAATTCCCTGGCAACATCACCACAATGGGCCCCACAATGATAAAATTGATGAAGATGGTAGTCAAGACTACGAAGAATATGATGACGATAACAAAGGTGGCTTTGGCATAGATGTGGGCTCCCACCTGTAAGGACAGGCCAGTTGGATTTAAGAGTTAGCGATCAATCTTGCCTTGATGACAATTACATTTAAAAATTGTCATTACTTGTGGCCTATGGAGAAACTTAACAGTTTTCAAAACTCTGCTAAAAGTTTTTTTAAGATAAACGTTTGTAAGTGTTGAATTAATCATCAAAACATATTGTGAAAATTACAAACAACAAAGCATCTAAAAAAGTTTTGTATAAGCATGTGCAGTAAAAATAATAATAATGAAGTCTCACCAAGCAGACAATGAAACAAATGAAAAGCAAGGCAGTGCCGTACAGCAGAGACCACCAGTATCCTGAGGGCAACACCTGGAGACCTCCGACAACTGCAGAACCCTCTGAGGGACGGCAAAACAGGGTTTATTATTGGTATATCAACACACTCATGCCAAGATATCACACCATGCCCTAACATACTTTACCTTCTGGGATGCCAAAAGTAGACATGATAGCCTCAACCAGACCCAAAACATAGAGAGCACTGCCGCATACATTGGCAAAGAAAAACATGATCCCAATGCTGCCACCAAACTCTGGACCAAGGGCTCGGCTGATCATATCTGGGGATACAAGTTAAGGGATTCTTTGTGGAAAAAACTATGATTTGACACAATATGTTAGGTTGATAGACATTAGGGCTGAACGATTAATCGATTTTAAATCGAAATTTGAAATGATGCGATTATCAAATCGCAATAGCCTGCGATTGATACGCACCTTCCTAGCCGGAGATATGGCCGCATTTTACAATAAACTTCCGTTGGGTCGCTTAAAAACAAATATCACAAATCGAATCGAAATATCTGTCAGAAAAATCGCAATTAGATTATTACCCCAAATCGTGCAGCCCTAATAGACATGGTTACAGATCAACCACCTGACAGATTTAGACCAAACGCAAGCCTGTACCATACAGTTGTGGATAAATCAAAACCTGGGAAGAAATGAAAAGCAGGAACTTTTTTTTTTCCTTAATCCATTAGACAGGCTTAATAAACAGCAGACACCCGAGTGAGGCTTTTAAACTGCAGCACAAGTCTCTCTGGGCAGCAAAGGATACAGTAGGCTCCTCCAGCATCTAAAGCCCCATTCGTGGAGATGGCACAGACGGAAAGCACTGTCATTGTGATAATTAGGTAGGCCACTAGGAACATCACAATGGACTGATAGACCCCTGCTTGACCCACAACAAATCCTACAAGAGGTAGGAGGAAATAGGATTAGTAATGTAGACCAATGTTCAACTTTAGGCCTGAAGCGTTACGGCCCGTCCACACACAGGCATGAAAAAAATCTTTCAAAGTTTCGCCCATTCCTTGAATGGGGTGACGTAGAAGAGTTTTAATCTTCGCCGAACTGCATTGTGGGGAGCGGAGCATGGCTTTGCAAGCATCGTGAGCATCAAAAGTTGAGCAATGTTCAACTTTTGATGCTCCCGATGCTTGCGAAGCTGGCATCAGCCAATCAAATCCAGTTTATGCAAATCCCGCCAGTGCAAGCGCTAGCCAATCAAACCGCGTGTACTGTGTCAGATACCGCTGCGGTCTTTTCCATATGTCATAAAATGGAGGATAAATTAATCATCGCTGTAGGAAATGTCCCGGTCCTTACGACTGCTCTCTGTTCACCTACCGGGAACTAAACCGGAGGAACAAGGCATGGAGGGAGGTGGCAGAGACAGTTGGTGAAACTGGTAGGTTTTCACCTGTTTGGGGAGTTTATATCCAGTTTACTTCGTTTTAACATTGAATGGACAGGCTTTGTTGGATATAAACTCCCCAAACAGGTGAAAACCTACCAGTTTCACCAACTGTCTCTGCCACCTCCNCTCCTTTAGCTTAGCGGTGGTGACGTGAAGTCATGTGACCGTGCTGTAGTTCCTTTATAGCCCAACATTAGCCTCCTTTAGCTTAGCGGTGGCGACGTGAAGTCATGTGACCGTGCTGTAGTTCCTTTATAGCCCAACATTAGCCTCCTTTAGCTTAGCGGTGGTGACGTGAAGTCATGTGACCGTGCTGTAGTTCCTTATAGCCTAGTTAAAAAAAAGTTAGCTTTTTACTTCAGAAATCTTAAAGTGGTGTTGATATCTGGAGATTATTATCTGTAAATACATATCATGAATGTTTGCTACAGAGATTTTGTGCAATAATCTCACATTATTGTGGATTTAAAAATCACATCACTTAACCCTTGCAATGCTAAATTCAGGGTCAGTCTTCAAAAATGTGTCATCACTGCACAACTTTATATTGAAAAGGACTTTTTTGTATTCCTTAAAACCTTCTTGCTACCTTATTGCTACGTTCTCTGTCAATCTTTCTGTACAATGAAGGGTCACAGTTGGATCAAAAGTTTATTTAAGGTTTTAATGATCTACTGTGTGTTGTTCCTCCTCCCAGAGAACCACAACAGTGTGTTTGCTGATGCTGGGTTCAAAGACATCCGGCCATACCATTACTGGGATGCTGCTAATAGAGGTCTGGATCTCGCTGGGCTCCTGGACGACCTGGAGGTGAGGACTTTAATAAGTAAATGACTGCTAGGTGTTAGCATTTTCATATCGAGATGACTGGAGAAGAAGTTAGGTAACAGGACATCATAACAGGAGGGCTGGGCGATATCACGACATTTTTCACAAAACACAATGAGATTTCCGTGAAACAATCATCAGTAAAGTGGATATAATGACTATTAGTTGGTTAATTATAGCATGTTACAGATTAAGCAGGCAGCTGACAGCGTGACGTGTAAATGAACCCCCTTGTTGTTTCTAATCTCTCATCACAGTGTTGTCACATGATTTACAGATTTAAACATCTCCAAAAATACTCTATTAGAAGTAGAATTACTCATCAACCAGTGTCTAAAACTAACATTTTGACTTCAAGACTATATTAATTCAACAAATCACCTGCCTTTGTGGTGGACATCTCTCACGATTTACTTGACAGATGCAAAATCTACCATATTTGGTTATTTCTTGGCTGTTCATTTCAAAACGTTCCTTGGATACAGATGATATAACACCTTACAATGAATGACATTAACCTATTTCAGGCCAAATCCACTGCCATTATTCAGTTTTCTTAAAAACCACATTGAGGTTTCAGGAATTCAGCGTGTCTATTTATTTCTGAGCGAACTCTTCCTCTTAACTTTTTAGTTCTGTTTTATTTTATTTTTTGAGATATCTTATGTTTTTCTGCTTTTTTGTATAATCACAACTAGGGCTGCACGGTTTGGGGAAATAATCTAATTGCGATTTTTCTGACAGATATTTCGATTTGATTTGCGATATTTGTTTTTAAGCGACCCAACGGAAGTTTATTGTAAAATGCGGCCATATCTCCGGCTAGGAAGGTCGTATCAACGTGCTCCCGTCTCTAGCACCCCCGCAGCCCGAGCTACGAGTGAAAGAACTAAACTTACATGAAACTTCAGTTGGGTTGATTTAAAGTCAAGTTTCAGTTTAAGATTCTCCCTGTAATAGATTTACAACATGTGATGGAGCATTACTAACCTGACTCAGATGGTTTGTTTCACCAAACCATCTGAAAGCTCCATTTGGAAGCCATTTGGAAAAGTATTTCAAAGATACTTGGCAGGTGATTGGATCGATCTGTCTATCACCTTCTATCATGGGCCACTTCTGATTGGTTAACAACGGCTGGTACATATGGAGCACAGCACTTCTGATTGGTGTGGATGACTGACACACAAGAAGAACAAAACAACTTTTAAAAAAAGCAGGCTTTGCGATTTGATAATTGCATCATTTAAAATCGCGATTTCGATTTAAAATCGATGAATCGTTCAGCCCTAATCTGGAGGTGGCAGAGTTGAAGATGCTATGATTTTTGGTTTGGAATTGACGAGGACTGTGTCACGATCACAGGTACAGATCAGAACCCAATAGCACGACTCAGATACAACCAGTGTATAGCAATGTTCAGTTTATTCAGGTCAGGGACAGGCAGGGTCAAAACCAGGANAAATGGAGGATAAATTAATCATCGCTGTAGGAAATGTCCCGGTCCTTACGACTGCTCTCTGTTCACCTACCGGGAACTAAACCGGAGGAACAAGGCATGGAGGGAGGTGGCAGAGACAGTTGGTGAAACTGGTAGGTTTTCACCTGTTTGGGGAGTTTATATCCAGTTTACTTCGTTTTAACATTGAATGGACAGGCTTTGTATGCCGGGGGCGGGCGGGAGATTCCTGGGAGATTCCTGATTGGTTGTTGTTGGGCGCGTGAAATCGCCAAGCTTCAGACACGCCCAGCATCAAGATTTTTTTCATGCCTGTGTGTGGACGGGCCGTTACTCTGTTTGCAAAGTTACATGCAAGATCATTTTACAGATTTAATTTGTTTAAAGTAATTTAATCATATTACATTATTCCACCTGTGTCTAGTGATGGAATTAAGAGTAAATTACTTAAGGTTCTTGGGAATTTGGACAATTCATTGGACCAAACCAAACAAGCAAGCTGAAGTTGTTACCATGGGTGCTGGGAAACTTTGATTAGTATTTTTCACATTTTAGCTAAACATTAAATATATCATTGAAAAAAGACAACGGATACATGAATATGTAGCTAAGAAAATAATGGATTATAATACAACGATGACACATATGTAAGTGATATTATTTGCATTTTATCTGGACTTAAATGTAGTTATGGTAGTGATTTTCGAGGCTTGCAGCCACTACTAAAATGGATACAATTTCCTTGTAAGCCTCCACCACCTGACTATTAAAAAAGAGAACACACCACACCGCCAGCCAATTTAGCCGGGAGGAACCTTTTTCAAACTATTCGTTCATTTATACATTTGTTCGGTCTAACACGGAATGTTTGGGAAATTAACAATCAAACCAAAGTTTAACATTTATTTGCACTCTTTTACTCACCAATTCGCAGAAATACAACGACGCTAAACATGGACAGTAGCGTTGGTACGACCACGCCAAACACCACTCCGAGCTTCCGGTCGCCCGTCTCCTTGGCCCATAGACCATGCCATAGACGGCCTTTGCCCGCCTTGGCCTTGCTACGGTCGGGGACATTTTTCGGCTCCGGGCTGGTGCTTCCGCTAGTAAGTCGGTAATGTAGAAGAGGAGTCTTTTCCGACATGGTAGATAAGTTAGTAGTAATTACCGATACATTCAGCTCGCTGGTTTCAACTGAACAGAACAGTTTCAACCGGCCGTCTTCTTGCTAGCTATGGTGACATTTTCCAACGTTCGAATCAGCAGTTAGCTAACTTAGTCGAGGAACCGTCATAAACCTCCACCGACGCTCATCACCTAATGCAAGTAATGAGGGAGGGTGTGCTCATGATCAGACGACACCGCCTCCTGTAATGGGCTCATCCAATCAGTTCTAGTTTCTCCTTAATTAATCCACCGGTTACTTTGTTTAGCATTTAGCTAGCCCAAACACCCTAGCCTACCTACATAACTAGCTTTTGCAGTTTCCTGCCTGAAAGACTGGAACAACTTTCTTTTGAATGTGTAACTACACTGTCATCTTAACGTAGTTCCAAACAGCTCTGTTGCGTTGTCTTTGTGGATTCAAACATTGCATTGATTGAATCTAATTCCTATGCATGAGTACTTATTATGCAGATCGGCCCATTTCAGAATAATATATTATTTTCTTTATAATTTAATGACTTTGTATGCTGCAGTGTACTTTGTGAATGCTGATTCAGGTGTAACTAAAGTCTTATTTAATCTTATTACATTTCACATTATTAATCCATCCAAATCTGCTAAGTAATTTAATGTATTAAATTGGGGTAGAAGTAAAAAGTAGCAATAGCAACAATAGGAAATACTCAAGTTAAGTACAAGTCCCTTTAAAATGGTCTTATGTGCAGTACTTGTGTAAATGTATTTAGTTACTTAACACCACTGCTAACTACCTAACCAGCTAACTAACTAACTAAGCACAAAATAAATACAATAATTATTCCATAAATGGCTGTATAAAATCATAGTTTATTGCATATTATATTGTTTTGACAAACATCAACTAAATAATGTCCTCTTAAAATGACAAATCTGGATATACATATACAAATTCACTGAGGTACACAAGATACATTTCCTAAATTAAAATATGAAATACATAGAAAAAGGCACAAATCTACAGCAAATCAATAAACTTTAAAATAAAAAATGTAAACAGAGATATCTAAAAGTGCAATGAGAATAAACAGTTGCTCTCTAAACCAGGAACACTTGACCAGTCGGCATAAGTCCCCAGTAAGTGAACTCTATTTTTCAAATTAAGCAAATGTGCAAGGACTTGCAGTATTTGGATATAAAACAATGTGAAATAAAACTATTTGTTTTTTGGATGGTTTGTACGTTTTCCTCAGCTTTGCAAACCTTGCTACCACTAAAGATCACAACAAATCTGAAAAATAAAATGAATCCAAATCAGGTTGACTTTTTGCAGATTGTAGGTTTGTAATAATTCCATTGGCTGAGAACAAACTTTAAAGCATCCATAGTTTAGTAGATTCATTAAAAAGAACTGCCTTTCTGTTATACATTCATTTGTCCATGATACTTTAATTGCGCTTAACGACCAGCAGAAAAGGATGTATTTCTTCTTTATCCTCTTAAAAAGTTATACATTATATAAATAAAGCAAACTTTTCACCTATACAACATTTGAGATCTACAACAAAGTGCATAAACATGTGGAACAGGGAAAGGAGAATATCCGGATCTTTCTGACAGTTTTGCTCTGTTGGATTGTCATTCTTCTTTTATCGCCCTGGGGGGAGCAGTTTGAAGAACATTAGGTCCACTTTATTTGTTCATATATTAATTGGAATTGCATCTGTCTTCCAGGTTAATGACAAACCGCTCTAGTTTGCCTGAGATCAGTTGGTTGTAGTTCAACAGGACTGTGCTCAGACTCTGGGTGCTTCGAGGAACACATGACAGTCCTGGACTCACTGCTGGCCCCTGCTGGTCCAAACAGAAAAGATCATTGTTATAACAAAACCGAACATGAACAAAAGAGAAAGAGGCCATCCGTGTTGCACTGTGTCTCACTGGGAAAGTATGCACTGCTATCTTCTTCTTGTCCTGAGGAAGGAAGGCTTGGGGTCACTAAACATAACATCATCACTCCCAGGGCACATAGTTTCTAGTAAGTCACAGATTTATGAGAAACCAGGATATTTCCACACCAGAGGAAACTGATAATGGCTCTAAATCAGTGAGAGAGAACTCCATCAACACGTTTTCACTCACTTTGTTTGAATGTTCTTGCCAGATTCTGTCTGATATCAGGCAACATGTGATCATCAACACACTGATGCATTTATTTGTCTTTCTTTTTGTGTGAGTTGCAGACCGAGTTAACTTTGATTTGGTGATTTACAGGCAAAAAGGCATCCAGATGCAAAAAGTAAAAGTTTCCAAGAAGCTTTTTATTGTCTACATGGTGTACAACTTGATTTTCTAAATTGTGGAATAGATATTTAAATGATTATATGTATCCACAACATTCAGACATTTTCCAGCTAAATCAATAGTAGTTTTAACCTCCACATGTCTACTAATCTCCAACAAATCACCAAATCATTGCTTGTAATCTTATTTGCATGCAGTTTGTCACTGTGACTGTCACCTACACTCAGCTGAAGGTGTGTGAGAATGAGCTGGTAGTTGTTGATGTTGTTCTCCAGTCTCTGCAGAAGTGAAGCAGCACATCCCGGCTGGCTTTGGGCCTTGAACACCTTCACACTTTCAACAAGAAGCTTCAAGGATGCAACGATGTCTCCTCTCTTCTCCTGGTCCTGAGGTAACAAATACATACAGAAATATGTTTTAGAGGACATTATCAAGACAATCGTATTTTTAAAGATAAGTCAATTCTCATTAAACCAATAGTAAGCAAGCAAGAAAAGCATTGTTTTGAGGATTTTGGTCTCAACTATGTGCCAACATACTGATATGTTTTCCCAAGATGCTACGTGAAGCTCGGTACAGGGTAGCTGAACCGGGGTGGAGAGCGTTGTCGAGCCATAACATTCACTCTGCAAGGAAGGGAGACATGTAGGAGACAATTGATAGACAACTTGGACTAGGGAGAGACAGGCTGATGGGAGACATGGGGGAGAAAAGCAGAGAAATGTTGGTAAAATGTATCTGTGACAGTCATATCCTCACCAGTGCACTCTCCAGCTCTGCCACAATGTTAATAGCCCGCCTGGCACCTTTATTACACACAAATTCTATGGGTTTTGTCTCAGCATCCCGCAGTTCAGAGGCTACCATAAAGAGCAGCAGGAGTCCTGGGCAAACACAAACACACACACTAAGCTAAGGTGCCACAAGTCAGCTTGTACATAGCATAAAAATCTTTGTAAATCAAAGCTTTCAGACTCACTGCTTAACGCCATGCCCTGCTTGGCCACTCCCGATGAATCCACATTTGTTCCATTAAGAAATATGCCAGGTGGATAATTCCCTGTGTCCTCTGTAGAGGAGCTGTGTGTTCTTTTTGTCTTCTCCCCACTTGATATCCCACCTTCTCATTCAGCAGTGGGAAGTGCAAGCGTTATCTGGAGAGCAGGATGTGCTTCAACTTTCCTGCTGCGCAACATAACAAAATGTTACAGACTAAAAATGGCTTTCATTGATATTAGCGGGACTATTTTGCTTCTCGTTTGGCCAGGGTTGGCTTTCCGAGCGTTGAGTGGGCTGCACTGCTGACTAAAAGGTTAATGATTTATTATTGTGAAAGACTCCATTTGCAAAGCTAACATCAAAATCCCACCACTACTGCCGGAGACTATTTACATTATGGCACAATTTGCTCCGGCCAATTCACAAAATTGGAGGAAGCTACACAGCCCGCAGTGGGAGGCCTTTTTTTCTTCATTATAGGTGTTTTATACAGATGTGTAGCTTGTTGGTTGTGTTTTAACTGTGTGTGTAATACAAGTTAGGCCCACTTGGAAAATAGTAGTATAATTATCTAAGGTATAAGTGTACCAGATGGACAGATTTTTTTTGTAACTTATTTTGTTGTTATTCCACTTGGATGTTCTCCAAGTGGAATATAAGTGCTTCATGTATTCTTACAGGCTTCTGTTCTTTGCATGGGGGACAAGGTGAAATAACTGACTGAGTGATTACCCTTCAAAGGATCGTTTAACAGCCACACTTGCTGCATTTATCACCCAGGAGAAGAATTGAACAAGCGGTCTTCACCCGGATAAACATCCCTCCCTCGGTTTGTAATGCCTTAAGGGCGCAGCTGGAAGAGGCGACAGGCTCCATTTCAACTGACATGTGGGGGGTTGAGGAGGTATATTAGCTGTCAACGACACGGATAAGAGAAAACATGAGGCAATGCACCATCCATCTTCATTTCAGACACACTGTTCAACACCATCACCCCTGCCCAGCCTGGACATTGACTGAGCCCCTGATCATTTCTATTTTGGCCAAGACGTTTATTTGTGTCATAATTAAGACGCATACTCTCTAATATTAAAACCCCAAGAGTGTGTGTGCTTGTGTGTGCTGTCACATACAAAAAGAGAGAGGAGGAGAAGCAGAAAGGAAGAGAGAAGAGAGCTTCAACACTTTCATGCTTTGCGTTCCCCCCTCCAAGCCTCCTGCTATCTCTGCCGACAAACCCCACCGCCGTTAATTAAGACGAATGCGCGCCGCGGCTCCGCAGACAATGACCGGAGCACATGGATTTCTGCACACGAGGATCAAACTGCGGGCCATGGCACTGACGGTACCAGCATTGCATCACGGACACGACACCCGGTACCCCGCTGCCCCCTCCCACCTCAAGTGGAACAGATGAGTAGACTGTAGCGTCTTTTCAGAGTTTATTTGCCTCACAATCCCATTCAGCCGCGCTCTCATACGGCTAGATCTTGTCGCTCCTGGTCTCCAAAACAGCCAGCAGCTGCTTGCTCCGCTGTGCGCTGTTTTGGAGGCGCAAAACCGGTAATTACGCGCCGTGTTGACAAGTTTGGTGCGGTGCTGCATGGTTTGCGCATCAGCGACTGGCCAGTTTGTGGGATCTACCGAGATCTTTCTCCGGTGGAGTGAAGTGTGATTTCCCCGGGAACCATTTGGAGACCTTCGTTGCCCGATCACAACATCCATTAGTGTGCTCACTTCAACCTGTAGCTGTGTGCCCTTTAATTTCAGTTTGTATTCCGTCAAGGCACAATGGAGGGACACAGCTGACGGTTTTGAATCCGTAGCCCGAGGAGAAGAGAAGAAAAAGGAGGAGGAAAACAGGGGAAACCGTAAGTAT